AGATGCTCATGAAACAACTGCAGTTCTTATTCTTTGGGAGCTCGATAAGGGCATCCTATGAAGTAGAAGATGGCTACGTTGGAAGCCTTTCGTTGGGCACAGGACTGGCCTCAGTGGGCCTAGATTCAGATAATACTTTAGAAAACAGTCCACTCTTCTGGTGATCTGTACTCAACAGCTTCCTCCTATCTTCTCTTTTCCCTTACTCCTCAGTCTGACAGTAGCTGACTTGGAAATTAAGACCTGTGCTCTAGCATCACTTCTGCCATTTATTCTTACTTAAGTCTTCCATCAGTTTACTCAATGTCCTGAGCCTGTTTACTCACCATGTTAACTGGGATAAGCAAAACTAACTTGGTTGAATCTGTAGAGTGATTCTAGGCATGACGTCTTAAATAGAATATGCAAGCGAGCTAGCAAAACCAATTCACAGAAATCCAGAAAGCATTTTGTTATTTCATGTTATCATTTCGGATTTGTAGGCCAATTTGAAGTTTGGAACTTTTCTGTCGCTGAGACTTTAATAACCTAACACTTTTAAAGTTCACTGTACGTTTGGAATAGTACATAAATAAAAGTAGGGCCTTGTCTGCCCGTAGGTGCTTATTTAACACACACAACAGTGCTGGGGCAAGATTTGGGCACAGATACTGGCTTAATGCAGAGTAGAAAATGGACCAAAAGTCCCTACATAAGGTAGGGATTATCATGGTTGGCCGGGAGCAAGACATATGCTGAGTTTCCAAATGAAGAATTTATACACGTCTTGAACTTCATTACCCTAACCTATGTTTTCTTTCTTTAGATTTTTTCGGAGCCATCTTGAGGATATTTGTATGTAATTGTTCATCGTTAACATTCTTCAGAGTAGAAACAAGATTCAGAGGGAGCTGTGCCTCTTTATATAGTCTGGGTCTTAAATACGTATTTTATGTAAAAGTCAGAAGTCGGTACTTTCAGAGTAACTGAGGTGTATTTGAAATTGCCATGGGTGAGCTGTGTGCATGACCCAGTCTGCACCGCCCACGATTAACACACAACTGCGAGTTCGCGAAAAAGCCTGTTCTGTCTACAGCTGCCATCCAGGAGCTGTCCAGTTGCAGTCAGACCTGCACTGAGGTTTCCCCCCCATCTGACACTGTGTGACTCCGTCTAATAGGTGACATTTTTGTCCTCTCCACAGAATGTGAATGGCATAAAGTACCATGCTAAGAATGGCCACAGAACACAGATTCGTGTCCGCAAACCGTTCAAGTGTCGTTGTGGTAAGAGTTACAAGACAGCTCAGGGCCTGCGGCACCACACAATCAATTTCCATCCCCCGGTGTCGGCCGACATTATCAGGAAGATGCAGCAGTAACATGCTGGTCCTAACTGTGCCAAGAAATCCTCACCAGCAGTTGCTGATTTTGAAAACAAACAGCCACCTTTTTTCAGGGGAAGCATTCAGCAACCCTTTAAAGAATAAAATGCATGCTTTAAATTTTTTCTGTAATTTTGGAATGATGTATCTTTGTAGAGTTAATGATTTTGTACATTTGCACATGTAATCATCATACCCATTTTCATTACTTTGATATAAGGTGCTAAACAAAGCTCTAGGTTTTTCAGCACATTTCCCCCAAAAGAAGACAGAAATTGAGGGCATGTTGTGTATCGTTTAGCTGTGTTGCAGTGATATCAGTTGTGGGGGAGGAGGGGCTGGCACTGAGGGTTTTCCCCCCAAGATTATAATGTGATTGGTTGAAGTTTTTCAACACATCAACTCATTGTGTTCAAAACCAAAATAATACCTTCACTGTCAAACTGGTTACCATGCCTTACATAATGGAGTTAGTTAGTACCTGTGACTAGAAAGACTTTAGGTAACGGAAATATAAATAAGAAAGAATGTTTAACATAATATGCTAAAAATATTTTCATATTTAAATAACATGCATAAAAGGTGTGCTTTGTGTTTTATATTATCTTGCAAATCCTTTAGACCTTTAAAAAGCTGAAAATCTTGCCATGTGACTTACCAATCATTTTAGTGTTACAAATGGCATTTTTGTACAAAAAGTCTATTCAGTTCACTCATTAACACACATTCATTGAGTGCCTGCTAGGTGCAAGGGATTCAGTTTATGCCTATTGATGTCTGTGGACCAAGATACCAGTTTAGTGAAATGCTTTCCCCCGAAATCTTAGGAAACACTTTGAAATACTTAAGTGCAAATTTTGTGTGTGTGAAATTTAGTTCTATCTTCATCTTTAGGTGAAGTTTTAAAGCACTTTGTCGTTCTCTATTGCCAACAGATGTGATGTTTTATGTGTTGCCAGTTCTTGCAACCACTGCCCTAACAACCTGAGGGTTGCAGATAAGAATTAAAATGCCAAGCGCGTTTCAAAGAGGAGTATCTTGTTAAGACCCCTGTCGCCTCCTCATGCTCACTGTGTTTTCAGACTTTTTTTTAAAGGCACTTTTTCCATCACATTGTAGATGTCTGTATTCCCACTGGAAATGTCTGTTTAGCTTTGTTAAGACATTTTGCTGAAATATGAAATTGAGCCTTATTGACAGGTAAGTGCTTCTTGCAGCAGGTGGTCAGTGACTAATACGTAACCCATTCGAGTATAACCTACGTCTGGACCATTCCTAACGTTTTTTGTACCAACAGTACCATCATGCCTTGAGTGTTCATTTCTCCCAAGTGCTATTCCTTAAACATGAGTTTACCAATTGCCTAATAATTATGCAATAAAAATTGCTTTGAGATGGCTAACTGCCCACAAAACTGATGAAAATCAAACTCGAAATGCTTGTAAAATAACTTTCTTCCCGTGTTTCCATTTGTTGAAAGTCTTACAGATGGAAAGCAGGTGTTCCTCCCTCCTCAGTTTTTCAGACGTTTTGAAAGGAAGACAATTCTGTTAGCCAGATGGGTAAGCTTCTATTAATACACTCTTAAATTGTGAATCCCTCATAATGAGGGATTTAAAAGTTATTTTTAAAGACACTACCCGCTAAAAATGTCCTCAGATCTCTGAAGAGTAGTCTTGGTCCTGAATATACAGTGTTATCCTTTATGTTTTAAAGGGTGATACAGACATGAGAAGCCACTAGTTGGTGCATAAGAAGGCCCTACTTGGCTATTTCATATCTACCTAGAATTGACCAAAATTTTTTTAGGCCAGCAATTATTATTTAGCTTCGCTCCTTCTAGTGCAAGAAACTGTAGGCTGGATCAGTAAGTAGTTCAACAGCTAAACAGTCATAAAATAGTCATTGTGCATGTTAAATTTCTTTCAACTATAAAAATTTCCAGTTTCTATTTACTTATTCCTTGTGACAGTATTACTAAACAGGTAAGGATGGGAATATTTTGTTATACCGTGTATAGTGAATGTATTGTACTGTGTCTGTGAAAACTGTGCTTTAAATTATATTTTCATATGTTTTGTTCAGGACAGAGCACATTAAGTTTGAAAGCAACAGAGGTTTGTTTTAGAACTGAAGGCAACTTAATGAAACAAAATTGCTGTCAAGAAAAGCTGCTTATAAATGTAAATGAAATCACATTTAAAATAAACTGCCTCTGACCCAAAATAAACATGGCTCTTTATTTTCATTAGCATCCATTATAAAGACCAGTATCAAGTTTGCCACAGAAACGAATATATCCATTCAGTACCTTGTTCTAAGGCTGCCTTTTTTGGGTGGGGGCAGAATTCAGCTGACATGTAGATTTCATCAATGTTTTGCCTAGGTTAGTATGATGAACAATTTCATTTCACTGGTAGTAGCACTGTAATATTCAAAGGATACTTTTAGGTTAGTATAATTATAATTATTAACTGATGAAACAATGTTCATATCATTGAACATATTTTACCTGAATATATTCTGCTTAGCATATAACCTATCCAGAAGCTTAAAACATGGAGTCTTCATTACCGCTGCATCCCCGGTCTGCCATGTCCTGATATCTGACTGCCCAGTACTGTTTTGCCCTAGACTCAAACCTTGTAAAGGATTCCAACGATACATCAATTCTGCTCCTAGACACAAATACAAGTGAGATGGTGTATATGTGGTTCACATATAGTACCCCAAAATGCCACTACACTGAATATTAAGTTAACATCTTAGATAGCTAGTTTGCTTAAGACAAGCTTAAATATTTTGATAACCAGAAAAACAGCAAAATCAAAAAGTCAATACTTTAAATCCTTAACATTCATATTCTAAAAGGGGAAAGGACTGTAGTTCAGAAAAATTTTTTAATGACCCAGACCAAAAAGACATTCAAGATGCTAGATTTAATGAAAAACTATCACAAATAAATTTGACAATAAAATTACACACTTCTAAAAATGTGTCTACTTTAATGTTAATGAATACTATATACAGCAGAGTCATAATGAACACGATAGTTTGATTTGGGTTTATGCATTACATATTTTATCACTTACTGAGAACATATCTTCAAAGTTATACTCTTATCAAGAAAATGTGAAAAAAGACATACATTTTCTGTGATTTTATGCCACAACCATCACTGTTTAGTAGATCATTTAATATGAAACAATTACACTGACATATCTTGTTCCATTTCCCCATCAGATAGAAATACAACTTTAAGATGGCTTAAAAATAATCATTCAGGTATTCTAAAATTTTTTAGTCATAAAATTAGCAAAATATGCATTCTATTAATTCCTAAAGCAAATATTTCAAATATAAAAAGGATATTTGCTCTCTTGGAAGCATGTGATCTCATTCTACATGCAGCTCCCTTTCTAAAGAGGGTTAAAAAAAACATTTCATGGGCTAAATTATGAAGTTTCTGTATTCAAAAGAATAACTTTGCAAGACTTATGATAAATTCTTTGTATTACATAACTTTTAGTAGTCATGCTCAATCAACAAGGTCAACAGATGTGTAAATATTCTGCTAAATAACACACTATATATACCTATTTTTATATATTTTTATATAATTATATTTATTGATAAGTGATAAGCCAAGGACTGACCCTGACACTAGTAACACCAAACTCAAAGTAGCTCTTGATCAGAAAAGTGCAGTAGAGGGTGCATGAAAGTGACACCTTGTGGTCTCCTTAGTGGTCTGAGGTGTTTTTTTTTCCAACTGCTAAACTGTATTATTAACTCCTAATAAAAATTAACTAGTCAAAATTTAAAACATTCTGATCAAAATGGGTTTGTACATGCCTTTCAAACCCCTGCTGGTCATAGTCAGGAGGGAACTGCTCGCTGCACATTGGGCACACCTTCCAGTGACTTTCAACATGTTCTTCAAATTTGCTCTGATCGTAGTTGGGAGGGAACATTAATTCACAGAGTGGACATTTCTTCTGAACATCAAAGCTTGAGGAAATAAAATGAAAGAATTACCTATTTCTAGTAAACAGATTTTTAACAGCAGTAACCTTCAGATACAGTGAGGTTACATTTATCTAGTTAAGCTGATATTCATACTAACATTTACCTTGAAAGTCTTCAGTTACGCCAGGAACCTCTTTTTCTGCTCCTAAAAGCTTGCTATTGACAATTGTGTAAACCATTTATAAAGCCTCTAATTTTAGTTTTACAATTAGATTGAAAAAGAAAATCTTTTTCTCAGCAAAATCCAAAAAATACAATCACATTATGTGAAATGAGGCTCAGTGACAAAGAATTCTTCAATTTTTAACTAACAAAATATGCCTTTTGTAAAACTATAAAGATTCATACAACTTGTAGCTTCCCAACAGTGTTCATTCAGTTTAACAAATAAAGGTGTTTACAGCACTGGTCCTCAAGGTACGGTGCACATCAGAACCACCTGGAGGCATGATGAGACGTGTACTGCTGGGCCCTACAGCAAGGATTTGGGGTTAACAAGATCTGAGTTAGGGCCCTGGACCATATGCATTTCTAACAAATTTTCAAGGACCATACGTTGAGAGCCACAGGTAATCCCAATTCTACACAGGAAAGAGAAAAATTACCTGGGATCAAAGCAAAAGCCTGTTCCATGGCCACGTAAATGCTGACTTGGAGGATCAGGGGCAGTGGGCACATTCTCATCTTCCTAGGCAAACAATAATTGTGCAACTTTTGAGAAAAGTGAAACCGAATAGAAGTTCCTCAATTAATTCAATCAAGTACCATATAAAGGAAATAAGATTACACTTTTTAAAATTTACTTCTATTATCATTAAATTAGATTTTCATGTAAACATGTTTGAAAGTAACTTTTTGTTTTTTAGAGAGTATTTCACTATGGACTAAGTCTTACCTTGAAATAAAAAGCAGTATTCAGTGAAATGGAGAGTATACTACACCTGTGTGTGTGAATGAAGTAGAGATCAATAGACTTTTTTGACCGAAATGTAGGTAACTTTACCGACTTTTCATTCCATACACTGGATGACCACTTTCATAAAAATCTTAAGACTGCATTATTTTTCCTTTTATTCTCATTTAATGACTATTAATCTGTAAGATAGGCAGGATCTTCTTTGATAATATATATCCACTGCACAATACGTAGAAATTATAAATAAAGGAAAACTCTGTGTGTGTGTGTGTGTGTGTGTGTGTGTGTGTGTGTGTGTGTGTGTTTTGGGGCAAATACACAAGCGAATCCAACTGGAAAACCATGTTAAAGCGAAGCAATGCACCAAATTACAGGCCTCAAAAACCCTAATGTAAAACAATCAGATTCAAATTTAAATATCTGATTAACAGATTATCAAGGAGGACTCCTAAAACCCTGTAAATCTGAGTCTGAATCTGAAAGAAAATGCTTGTTTGAATTTCCATGCCTGCATCCCTCTAGTCACTTTTTATAGATTTGCACACTGCTGCTACATCAATATCCAAACAGACTGTCACTTCATATCCAAAGCAGCCACATCATCTGAAATGCCCATTTGCTTTCTTCCCCTAAGCAGTTTGTTAGTTTCTCTCATGTCATGAACTAACAGCGCACAACAGGTGGAAGAGGCACTGATCAAAGTCCTTATGTTGCTGGGTAGTCATGATTACCCCAGAACTATTAACAGGCTAATAAGTCAGGTCTGTCATAGGAAGAGGTTCCAAAGAAGTGTATGTGACATGAAATTTTAAGTGACCAAACAAAAGATAAATTGAATTCTTTTTTTTGTGGGGGGGGGAAGGAAGAGTAATGGAAGGCGTGGTAACTTAGCTATTATTCTGACAATTATCCCCCCCTAAAAGCTCAAAAAAGGAGGTGAGAGACTTTTTTCCCACGTGCATCACATGAGAAAACACTTTTGTTTACATGATTCCCTTAGGATATAACTGGGCAAAAGAGAAACAGGATCAATAACCTAATAGGGCATATTGAGAAGTTGGGGAATGTGGGACAAGTACTTCATATACTTCAAAAATTAAAAGTCCTTAAGTAACTAAAATCCAGTTTTTAAATCTGCAGGTACAAAGAGGGAAGATGATTTAGTAGTTGAATCTGCTAAGCTTACATATGTATAACAGGCAAATTGTGATTCTGTGCCACATTACTCTGGCTGCCATACTTAGGCCTTCCAGCAACAATATCCGAAAATGAATCTGCTTAAACAGCTACATATAAAATAATGAACAAAATTTTCTCATATATAAATGACATAAAAATATATAAGTGTTTTAAAAATTTTTGAAATGCTATTGAAGAAAAAGAATAAAAAAAGTCTTCATATTCTACTTTTCAAAATTCTTGATGAGACATATTTAAAATATTGTACAATACAACTTTCTAGGGGTGAAAAATATAATGGAAACAAAAATCTCATAACCACCTTTCCCTGTGTTTTACAAAAGCTGCAGCTCACAGCAATTCACTGCTTCCATGAAGCAGCTAACAATAGAGTTTGGAACTCGCTAAGGTGCTAGGTTCAGACCACCTATCAGACATGTTAACCCTGCTTATAAAATATGTGGATGAGGGGGGCAAAAAAAGCAATTTATACTTTCTAAGCCATATATAATTTGGTAAGGGAGCTATTATTCTGTATCTTCTACCAGAATAAAGGGAGAGGGACTGAAGAGTAGAATTCTAGATGTAATAATGAGACATAAGTCCTCATGAAATAAGAAATCACCTACTGGGAGAATAGTTTAAAACCAGAAAGTATGTAATAAAATCTGAGTAACCAATTCATATAATAAAGTCTCTGGTGATCTTGTCATGCAAAATGACCAAATTTTCACTCCCAAATACAGTTATTCCATTTTACTCATCAAGCTCGGCTAATTAGTTTCCAAACCATACTAGTTTACATATAACAAATTAGCCCAGGAAGTGAGGCTACTAAGGCAGGCACACTGCCAGCAACAAAAAATGGCTACTGGTGAAAAAAGAGAGGAAAGCAGACAAGAACCCAACACATCAAATAGGATTTCAACACTGGATCATACAGCTTTACTATACACCTTAAAAGAATGTGAGGACATCATTCAATATTGAGTTTTTTGGGGGTTTTTTTGCAGTACGCAGGCCTCTCACTGTTGTGGCCTCTCCCGTTGTGGAGCACAGGCTCCGGACGCGCAGGCTCAGCGGCCATGGCTCACGGGCGCAGCCGCTCCGCGGCATGTGGGATCTTCCCAGACCGGGGCACGAACCTGTGTCCCCTGCATCAGCAGGCAGACTCTCAACCACTGCGCCACCAGGGAGGCCCCAATATTGAGTTTTTAATTAATAAAGTTCAGTCATCGAGGTTATTAGTATTCTATTTTAGCAAGATTTCCACCCAAAACTACTAAAATAATCAAGTTTTAGCACTGAAAGTTGTCAACTCAAAAGAATTTTGAATAGCAAGTTTTAAAGTATAAGTACCTAGTATTTTAGCTAAACTGCTGAAATAATCTTGTAAACAAATATTATTGGGAATACCACAGTAAAATGTATTTATGAACAATTCCAAATAATTAAATTTTTCTTAAGAAAATATTTTCAATAGCATTTTAATCTCCACAAAGGTCTAAACCACTCTACATTGTTCATGTACCTTTAGACCCATGAGCACAATACTCTTTCTATTTGCAAACTGGTTTTTAAGCAAAGGAAACATGCTACGGTAAAATGAAGCTCTGTTTGAAACCCAAAACTTCTCATGAGATGCTCAACTCAAAATCTAGTCTCTAAAAAATATTCTTGTTTTTCTTATCAAAGTATATAACCAGTTTGAACATCTGAAATAGTATTAAAATTGGTTAATCTCTTAGACAACAAAATACATTTAATCAATCATAAAAATACAATTACCATACGATACAACAATTCCATTTCTGGGTATATATCCAAAAGAACTGAAAGCAGGAACTCAAACAGATATACTGGTACACCTATGGTCATAGCAGCATTATTCACAATAGCCAAAATGTGGAAACAACTCAAATGTCTATCAATGGATGCATGGATAAACAAAATGTGGTATACACATACAATGAAATATTATTTAGCCTTAAAAAGGAAGAAAATTCTGACATCTTACAACATGAATGAATCTTGAGGACATATATTAAGTGAAATAAGCCCATCACAAAAAGATAAATACTATATGATTCTACTGTACTTATATGACGTATCCAGAATGGTCAAATTCAGAGAGACAAAGTAGAATGGCAGTTGCCAGGGGCCAGAGGGAGGGAGGAATGGAGTTGTTATTTAACGGGTATAGAGTTTCTGTTTTGCAAGATGAGAAGAGTTCTGAAGACTTGTTGCACAACAATGTGAATATACCGTTGACCACTGAACAATGAGGATTTGAACTATATAGATCTGCTTTTATGCGGGAGTTTTTTCAACAGTATATACTACAATACTACATGAACTGAGGTTGGTTGGATCCTCGAATGCAGATCTGTGGATATGGGAGAAACCACAGATGTAGAGGACCAACTGTAAGTTATACTCAGATTTTCAACTGCGTGGAGGGTTGGCACCCCTAACCCTCGTGTTAAGGGTCATCTGTACTTACTGCTATAGAAGCATGTACTAAAAAATAGTAAGATGGTAAACTTTATGTGTATTCAACCACAATAAAAAATGCAATTGTGATCAAACTAGCAATACACACTCGGGAGCTAATGATTGAGTTACACTATCTGAATCATTAGGATTCGGACAATCAGAATTTCTGAAACTGTTATGATTCCACCTTTGCCAGGAATTATTAATTGAAATATTTAGATATCATTAAGGAGCTAGTAATGAATATCAATGAAGAAAGATCCACCACTTAATAAAACTTTTAAAAAGTTAATAATTACTACTTTAGTTCAAGAGCATCCTACAGGGGCTTCTATATACAATGGAATATTACTCAGCCATAAAAAGAAACGAAATTGAGCTATTTGTAATGAGGTGGATAGACCTAGAGTCTGTCATACAGAGTGAAGTAAGTCAGAAAGAGAAAGACAAATACCGTATGCTAACACATATATATGGAATTTAAGAAAAAATATGTCATGAAGAACCTAGGGGTAAGACAGGAATAAAGACACAGACCTACTAGAGAATGGACTTGAGGATATGGGGAGGGGGAAGGGTAAGGTGTGACAAAGCGAGAGAGAGGCATGGACATATATACACTACCAAACGTAAGGTAGATAGCTAGTGGGAAGCAGCCGCACAGCACAGGGAGATCAGCTCGGTGCTTTGTGACCGCCTGGAGGGGTGGGATAGGGAGGGTGGGAGGGAGGGAGACGCAAGAGGGAAGAGATATGGGAACATATGTATATATAAAACTGATTCATTTTGTTGTAAAGCAGAAACTAACACACCATTGTAAAGCAATTATACTCCAATAAAGATGTTAAAAAAATTTTTAAAAAAAGAGTGAAATAATGCCATTTGCAGCTACATGGACCTAGAGATTATCACACTAAGCGAAGTAAGTCAAAGAGAAAGCCAAATACCATATGATATCACTTATATGTGGAATCTAAAATAATGACACAAATGAACTTATCTACAAAACAGAAACAGACTCACAGAGAGGAGACCTGTGGTTGCCAAGGGGAGCCGGTGCGGGGGTGGTTGGATTGGGAGTTTGGGATTAGCAGGTG